AAAAAGAACCAATATCTAACTTTTTTTAAATCACGTCTCTTTAAAAATGCTAACAATTCCATTTTAAATTAAAAAATTAATACATCCTACTTTTTCATTAAAACATGGCAGTACTATTCCCAAAGCATTCTAAAACTTTACAATAAAATCAAGGAACTCCTACTACTAAAAGAATAAACTGAAAACTCAAATCACTATCAACTCCCTATCAAAAGTCACTGCCAAAGAAAATAGTGTACCAAACCTTGATCCAACCCAAACAAGTCTGTACTGGGCTCCATTACCCAAAACCTCAAAGCGATCAACTATCCTGGGAATGGGTATCATCTCCAAGGGAACCAATCAACATAGCTGTTTGGGCTGCAGTCTACTAGTACAAATAATTTTTAAATGTTTCTGCTTCTTATGACAGACCTGTTTCATGTTTGGTAAGTGAGGATGTGCAGGAGGAATCCTCATGTATACATTAATATCTCAGTAATCATTTAATACCATCTGATATCTCTATACAAAAGGCTTTCAACTTTCAAATGCTTTCACATTCATTCTCTCATTTGATGAGTTATACTCAAGTTGTATATATAAACTATATACATTTTAAAAGGGTAAACCATTATTTAAAAAACAAAATCCTGCTGGAAGCTTTTAATCCCAGCACTCAGGAGGCAGAGGCAGGCAGATCTGAGTTTGAGGCTAGCCTGGTCTACAGGGCAAGTTTCAGGACAGTCAGGGTTACACAGAGAAACCCTGTCTTGGGAAGAAAAAAAATTCCTTGGGCTAGGGAGGTTTACTACTTCAGTGGTAAAACACATGCCTAGCAAGGGCAAAGCTTTGGGTTCAATCTCAGAACTATGAAAAAATATAAAACCAAATATCAAAATAACGTTTTTGCTGCCATCATTAGGGGTATAACAAAAAACACGTTATAATATATACATAACACTCTGCAAGAGAGGAGAAATGTGTTACAGTGATCACTAAAGAAACAAAAATGCCAAACGAAAGGGAGTGAAATGGTTCATGTTTTCTCGGGGAGGGTGTACTGAAGCTCAACTCACGGCTAACATAAGCTAAGCATTTTCTCTACTAGCCAGGAGAAAATACTTTTAAGTTGTTTATCATTAGGAAATTTTTCTGCATCACAGATAGCCTAAAAACCAGTACTCCCTTAGTTGTATATAGTAAAACTATCCTATCGTACTAGAGTAAATGAGTCTAACTTAGAAACCTTAATTTTAATAAACTTCAAGGACATATACCTCCTTTTAAAAATAATTTTTGTATGTTATGTGTACGAGTGTTTGAATATTAATTATATGCCTGATGCCTTCAAAGGCCAGGACAGAGCTTTATTTAGATCCCCTGGGACTGGACGGCTGTGAGCTGCCATGTGGGTGCTTGGAACCAAAGCTTCATCCTCAGTAAGAGCAACTAGCGCTCTTATCTCTCCCCTAAAATACCAATTTTAACTAGTGAATTAGAGATGATTAGTGAAGACTTACCTAAAATTCTGTGGTAAGCTAACTAAAAATGACCTCTTCCTATCTGAGCATCATCCTTCAGGTTTATCTGCCAATAATGTACTTACTTTTATCCTTGCTCTGAAAACAGACTCGGTCTGATTCTTATCTGTCTGAATACCAACTTAAGGTGAAAAAGAATTAGGAAAACAGTCTTTTTGCATATTAGTTATGCATTCTAAAACACAACAACCACTTTTTAAAATAAAAAGCACACCAAAAAAACCCTAGTATCAGAGTCTGGAAATACCCATTCTACAGTGCAAGCCAAGCATATCTAAATTTATATGCATTATTTTTCTTTTGAGACAAGGTCTCATGTAGCCTTCAATCTTCCTACATAGAAAGGATGACCCTCCTTCTTCCACTTCCCACATACAGCACTGCAGGTGCCACCCCACACACACACAGCTTATGCAATGAAGGGGATCAAACCCAGGACTTTGTGCAGGTTAGGTAAGCTCTCTACCAACTGAACTATGTATGTACCCAGATCCATCATACATATCCATGACAACCTAAGAAAGGGTCCAGAATGTTTTAGTTTCTACAAAGAATAAGCTCAGTTCTAGGATAAACTCAGTGCTCTAAGAACATTTAACCTTACCCCACTTATTCCTAGAATCTAAATATAGCTAACTATGCAAATTAAATATCAGTTATGCAAATAAACAGCTTGTTGGTCCTTACTAATGTAATTTCTGTTATTTAGAATAAGTGACTCCATTTCCAACAAGTGTCTGTATTTTCAGGTTTCTTTTTATTCTAATCCAAAACCAGTATTTTGACTACATAAATCATATCAAATTACATCATTGGTCACACTAAATATAATTTCCTTCATATAGAAGCTTATAATATCCAGCACAGTCTTTGAGCTAAACAAAAGACTGATTTGCCTTTTTGAAATGAGTTTCCTCATCAATTTGGTTTGTCTGACAACCAACAACTAAAATTTCCTGAATGCCCACACACGCTGTCCAACCCGACTATCTTCCCATGTTAAGTACTACAGTTTCGTGTAGTCAATAAAAAATTTAAGAGCCATGTGCTAAACTAAGCTCTAGTACTAGTCCTCAAATGCAGCTTCTGATGCTTCAGAGACATTGAAGCCTTGAAGCCAGGCCTACCTTCAGCTCCGTCTACCAGGCACCAGTTAGCTACACACCAGAAACAAAAGACAAAAGTTCAAGTCACTTCCCTACCTCTCCATGTTTAGAGATTTTAAAACTGCAGTAATTGCATTTTTAAAACTGCTTAAACACGTGTTAAATACAAACCCTAATTTTTTTTCTAAAAGGCTTGATGAAATTTTCTTAAATTCCCCTAACTTCCTTCAGTTCACATAAAACTGGATACATGGCACAAAACCTCCAGCAAACTCTGAGAAAAACAAAACAAAAAAACTAAAATAAGGGAGACTCTCATCCCTTCCCAAAATCAAATAAAACGTTTATCTATATTACTATATCCCAAGTGAAGGACAGTTTCAATTGTTTCAGCAAATTTTATCTTTTCAAAAGAAACTCAGCCATGTTTCTCGATGGGTTTTCACCCAAGCACAGAACAGGTGTTCTAAGAACACTCGTCAGGAGTGAGGGCCAGAGCAAGAGTCCCTGGCAGTAACAGGGCCACTGTCAGACATGGAAGGTTAGTGGCCCTAATTAGCTAAGAAAGAAGTATCAAAAGAAACATCCCTCATTTTCAAATCCAGATCTCTGAGCAGGAACTCCAGCACTGCACAAAGAGAGCTACAGCAAGTTTCACACTCTGAAGTGATGGCATCAAGTCAGCCCTGCTTTAAAACCAGTTAACACTGCACCTGAATAAAACTTATCTAGTGGCCGCTGGCGAGGAATCTCAGTGCAAACTTTGGGACAGCAGTGAGTGAGTAAGAAAGGAAAGGTCTAAATTTAATTCTCTCCATGTTGAGCTTCAGCAGCAAACTACTGCCTTAGAAGACACTGAAGTTCCCTCTAAAGCTTAAGCACAGAACACCCAATATGAAATTATAATATAAGCTGGTGCGGGAGAATTGTCTTTATTCTGTCAATCATATTTTAATAAAACGCTGATTGGCCAGGCAGGCAATATAGATGGAAAAGCCAGACAGGAAGTAGGAATGGAGTAAAGAGACTGGGAGTATTTTGGGACACAGGAAGCCCTAAGCCACTCCTGCGCAGACCACCGAAGAGGCAACATGTAAGCTGTCACACTGAGAAAGGTACTGAGCCCATGTGGCTAAAATAGATAAGGATAATGGGGTAACATAAGTTACAAGGACTAATAAGGAGCCTGACCTAATGGGCCAATCAGTTTATAACCTTATGGAGTCTTATGTGTGATTTTCTTTGTTGCTTGCCGGCTGTTGGGGTACTGGGCGGGACAGAAACCCCAACAAGCCGGCCTTCGTGTTACAATAAGCCTACCTAACTCTGCTGTGAACAACCTTGAGTTATTTAATAAACTTTCCTCCATAAATAGAAAGTGATACTTCAAAGAAGAAAAACTAAATAGTGGAAAACTTAAAATGTGATCAATCTTGTCTTCTTGTGTTCTTAAAATGTGATCAATCTTGTCATAAGAATTTATTAAATAAAATTATACATGAAATACAGCTCCAGAGTAACACTCAATACATTTTAAACAGTGCTAGGTATATTACATACCAATTTTAAACCAAGTAGAAAAATATATAAAATAACCACATCAAGGTTTAACACTTCAAACCTCGTCTTTCATTCAGGCAATCAAATCTTAATTAGTTATCTTAGCCTAACAGATAGAACTGTAGAAAGAGTAATGTTTAAGATCACTTTGCCAATAGCTAGTTAAAGCAACAGTTCGTTAATCTGAAATAACCTTTATTCTGCTCCTGTGTCACAACTTTCCAAAAGCATTCCTTTCTTTTGTATTAAAAACAAAATCCTGAGCCGGGCAGTGGTGTGGCATAGGCCTTTAATCCCAGCACTTTCTATGAGTTCGAAGCCAGTCTGATCTACAGAGGTCCAGGACAGCCAGAGAAATCCTGTCTGGAAAAAACAAAAAACCTAAATCCTGGTTACTAGTACCAAATTACTCAAATATCTTAATTTGACTTGAGTACAGACCAGTCCTCACCAAACCAGTTCTAGCCAGCTGTACCATTTGTGAAGGAAGACAACACAACACCAAAGTGCAAAGGACTAGGTAACAGATTCAATTTGCAGGATGTGTGAGAGACTGGCCAAGAGAAGCCACACCTCCAGGCTGAGAAGTCCTTTGAAACCTTTGAGGCTTACTCTCTTACCTGTAAAATGGGAACGATCCTAGTTCTCTCAGATGAGATTACACAGGAGAAAACTTCACAAACATGCCACTGCTGGGTTTTGCTCCGACATGAGTAAGTCGAAGCACAGCTTCATAATACAATGCTACAGACACAGAATTAAGAAACCATTACCACTATTCAAAAATCACTACTTAAAAAAAGAAACTTGCCTTTGATTGGGTTCTCTTTCCATTTCGCATGCTAAACTTCTCCTTCATTTCTTCTAAAATTATCTTCAGTTTTTTTTCTTCGGGTGTTCCTAGATATTTTTGGTTCACATGAAGGTAACAGTGCCACTTGGCTGACTCGAAGCCCCAGTGGCAAGTTCTCTTGTCAGGTGACCGGTGAGAATGCATGACAAATGTCTGGGGTGCAAACATTCCACAGCACTCCAGACACTGGATACAGGGAGCATCAGGCTGAACATAGAACTGGGGTGCAAAGAGACCCTGACATTTGCCCAAGCATTCATGTTCTACTTCAAAGGCACTGCCAGTTTCCTTTAACTGGGCCAAAGAGGTTTTAGCAGGAAGTATGCTACCATTTTGAGGAAAGGTTCGCGGCCGCAGTAAGGCATTGCAGAGTCTTTGGGCATCAGTCAAGGTGATCAGCCCACAGGATGGGGCATTGAAGGGAAGGATTCCTAGGACTTTTAAGATGTGAAGCTGGTCTGAAGTACAACGTGAACAATATATGTATAGCTCATCACATACTGTGTTTATTTGCTGGAGTGAAAATTCCCGGAGAACAGAATTTAAGACTTGGGGCAAACAGAGTCTCTTTTCTCCTCCAACTTGAAAACAAGAAATAGACTCCCCTTCCAAAACAGTCTGAGTGAGCTCTGTGGAGCTATCAGAAGGGATGAGAAGAGGGCCAGGAAGAACCTGAGGAGATGGAAGAGGCAGGAACACAGTCGGCGACATGCTTTCTTGGGAATAGCGAGCGGAAAATGCTGCTGGTCCACCCAAAGAGCTCTGACTACTCAAATGGAACTGTGCTAGTGTGTGTTTCAGACTGGGGTTTAAATTTAAAGTTTCAGGCATGGAAGTACAGTTTCGTTTGGCAAGCTCTCCATCGGTCTCCACTGATGCATCTCCATAGTCATCCAAAAGCTCCTTCTTCACCTTGGTTAGCGTTTTTCCATTGACATGAATGTCTGTCATCATCTTTTTCACGGGAGGGCTGCCATCATCCTCCATTCCATTCAGTTTTTTATTTGAACCCTGAACTAAGGAGAAACTGGACTGTAGGTTTTCCATGACTACACTCGTGGTTTAAATAATTAGGTCTGCAATTGGCATGTTGTATACAGTTGCTAATTTTAAGAGAAAAGGATAATGTATACAAAAATTATGACTCCCTAGAAAATGTTTAGTTTCCAAAGATGAATTTCTTGCTCAATAAATTTGTGCAAATTGGTTTTGGTTTAGTTATACCTTAGGATATAACAGAAAATACTACAAAATTTCTCATCTTGCTTCTAATAAATCATAAGCAGACTTCTGAGAAAAATCTTGTTTTCTTGATTTCTTCAGATATTTGTGTTAAAATAAGGCTAATTTTTCAATTCAATTTGCCTAAAGTTTGGTGTAATGGCTGCATTTGGTGCTTTTGTCTTCGAAGGAAAGTTTGTGGGAAAGTTCTGTCATTACTGTATCCTAAAACTACACCCAAACAAGAGTTATAATGATGCAACGGATTTCGGTTTTGCCAAGGGCACCAAAAAATAAGGGGGGGGGGGGGGATAGCTTCACTGAAAATGGTGGTCCACTGCTCTGTGGTAACAAAGTGAAGACTTGTCTAAACCTCTACACCAGTAACAGCCTGACTCCACCTGAACTTCTACAATTTAAAAAAAAAAAATTTCTTAAAAAAAAAAATCCTGCCCGGTTATCATTAAGGATTACAGTTCACTCTTCTTTTAATTGACCTGGAAGAAGAGAAAAGGGTGGGGAAGAGTTACAACTGAATTTGCTCCAGAGGGCAAAGGGTCAGTTTAAAACCAGTTTCTTAATCTTAAACTCAGTTCACTTTACCAAAGGTAACACGAGTGACTTTTTTCCATCTAACATCAGTTATCTAAAAGAAACTTCATTTAAATAGGAAGCAGCCCAGAAGGCGGGTAATAGGAGCATTAAATAATATACCTCCAAATGAGGAAGAGCACAAATGAGAATGCAAATAAACAAAACTCAGTACCAGAGGCTTCCCCAACTATGCCATTTTAATTAAAAAGTAATTTTTATCTCATTTTTAAAAAGCCTGTATGTTCAGCTCTCATAAAGAACCAGATACATGTTAAAATACCTACCATATGTAACTAAGTTAGTCTCAAGTGGATTAATTCATCTAGTCAATATAAACTACCTTTCTGAAATGAAGGGGGGGGATTGAGCTTTCCCTTTAAAAGGTTACCGAATTTGCTTAATGGAAGCCCAAAGCTGTTAAGACTCCATGCCTGGAAATCTCCATCCTTGAGCAAGACTAATCCGGGACAAAAAAGCACAAGGCAGACAGACCTCACAAAGAATGCAAATGGAGGCAGAGTGGGGAGAAAAAGAGTCTTCTTCCACTTCCCTCCGGGGATAAAGACCCAATAGAAGCCGATAAACCAAAACCTTGGCTTTCTAAACTCCCAGCAATTTATGTTAATACAAACCCAAAGGGTTACCGCCGAAAGCCACCTAGCCGCCGTGCCGTGACTTTCGCCACTACAGGGACACCTCAGCCCAAGGCGAGCCAAGGAAAAGGGCAGGGGGAATGACCTAGCCCAGAGGCGCCCCCACAGCCGTGCGCCCACGCAGACACCGACCCATCTTCGACAGAAGGAGGAAGGACAGAAAAGCAGGGGACTCCGGACGTCTGGTGAGGTGAGAGGGGGCAGAGGGAAGTAGAGGGAGGAGTCCTCCCAACCCCCACCCGAGACTGGAATCACCCCAAGTGCCCTCCCCACATCGCCCCACCGCGGGGGCCGCCGATGGAAATCCCCCACGCAGCCGGTCCGCGGGAAGTTCTCCCGGGGTTACCTCGGCGCCCCGGGGCTGTGCCACCCCCCACACCTACCCCGAACCGTGGCACCCAGGGGGGCGCGGGCAGGTTGGGCGCCAAGCCCGGAAGCCCGCAAGCTCGCGTCGCCGGACGCTCAGAGCTGGGGCCAGCCCGGGGGCATCCCCGCCGAGCGCAGACGGCAGGGGGATGGCGACGATGACCGGCGTCTAGGTCTCCCGGGTCCCGGCCGCTCGGGTCAAGTGCAGCGCTGTCCCCTGCCAGCCGACCCGTCCCGAGATCCGCGAGGCCTGGACCCCCGTCAGACCCCCCACCCCCCTGCCGTCTGCGCTCGGCGGGGATGCCCCCGGGCTGG